TGACAATTATGATGGAAATTCAACGTGTAGACTGATAGACAATTCAGAGAAATAGCTCCATATCCAGATTTGATAACGTGCAATTATTTGATTGAACCTTTGTGGGCTTTTTGCCCCATCCTTTGGCTGTTGCTGCACACAGACTCCTTTCTAACAGCTGTGGAGAGCACAGAGCTGAAGATGCACATGGACTGCAGTCAGCTGCGTATGAAACAGGAATTAAAATTAACTCAACCACATACTGAGTAAATTTGTGTTAGGAGTGAGGGATTCACTGCACAGCAAGCAATGCACTTCACTTAACAGGCATATGCTTTTCCCTTATTAGAAAACTAAGGAGTTTATTGTGATGCACAAAAAGACCTTCCGATTTCATAGGACTGCAAAGAGATTCACTACACATACAGGAGTATCTCTTCAGCTTGGCAGAAAATGATCTGTGGCTTCTGGTGGACACCAAGCTGAACATGAGCCCCATGTCCCCTTGCCACAATGAAGGCTCATGGTCTCCTGGGCTGCCCTGGGCAAAGCATGGCCAGTGGGTCGAGGGAAGGGATCCTTCCCCTCTACTCGCCACTGGTGAGGCCACAGCTGGAGTGCTGTGTCCAGCCCGGGCTCCCCAGTAGAGGAGAGACATGGACATACTGGAGAGGGTCCAACGAAGGGCCATGGAGATGATGAAGGGACTGGAGCACCTCACATCTGAGAAAAGGCTGAGAGAGCTGGGGCTGTTCAGCCTGGAGAAGAGAAGGCTCAGGGGGGATCTCATCCATGTGTACAAACACCTGAAGGGGGGGTACAAAGAAGATAGAGCCAGGCTCTTCTCAGTGGTGTCCAGTGACAGGACCAGAGGCAGTGGGCATAAACTGAAACACAGGAGGTTCCCTCAAACACCAGAAAACACTTTTTCCACTCCGGGGGTGACTGAACGGGCACAGGGTGCCCAGGGAGGTTGTGGAGTCTCCACCCTTGGAGATATTCAAAAGTCGCCTGGCCACGGTCCTGGGCAGCTGGTTCTAGGTGGTCATTCCTGAGTAGGGGGTTGGACCAGATGACTTCCAGAGGTTCCTTCCAATCTCAACCAGCCTGTGATTCTGTTATCGTATTACAATTTGGAGTCTCCATATTCCAGCATAAAGTTGAAATTCCAAGGAGATTGCTATATTTTTGACAAATTCCTCCTTTGGTAACCAGACCATGCTTTCAGACAAGACAAGGTGCCAGAATGTGGCTCATTCAAGTGACTTTTTCTGGAATTATAAAGGTGACACTGCAAAATTGTTCTGTTCTAGACAGGTTCCAGACAGGCCATGCTTTTCACACTACTGTCAAAACTGGAGTGCTAGAAAATGTACGATGGTGACAGAGCTCCGGACCTATGTGACTGTGCCACCACTCTTTGCTCTGTGGTAAATATCACATGTAGGTCAGTACCTTGGTACTGAGAGTCTAACCCTTACCCTGCAATCACATCCCTGTGAAATTCTAATGGCCCATCCCTTGTGAGCCAAGTATTAATCTTTAGCTTCCATGTATGGTTATATGTTTGGGAAGTATTTTTAGATTTGAAATGATGAACTGTAAAACACTGCAAACTGTTTTAGTATTCCCAAAACTGTGCTAAATATATCTATTGGTAGGACTTTAAGTGGTATGTTGTGCTAAATGCTCAGTGATTAAATATTAAATATACATTTACAAGTCTCAGGTTGAGCCCATGTGAATGGAGATGCAGTTTGACTCTGATCTGCCAGACAGGAGCTGCATTATGGTTTAACCCCAAGGATTGCTAAATCCCTGAGCCGGGTAACAAGAACCATGTAACACTGCACACGCTCATTAAGAATGTAGCGTGGTTGAATGTCCTTTCAGCAACAACCTGAGAAACATCTTTTAAATGTGTGGTTAAATTCACATTTAACAACCATTTTAATTATTTTACGCTTTATTAATTGCTCACAGTTTGATTCAAATTTAATTATTACTATTTGGATGAACTTAATAATTAGTTTTTAATGCCTCCTTAATGGTCTTGCCTGATAATTGTGACCTGCTGGCCCTTCTGCATGCTCCTGTTTTGACTGAATCAGAACCAGGCCTTTCTTGTAAAGTGAGTAATTTGCGAGAATAACCTTTGCATGGTTTTGTTTTTTGAGCAAGTAGTCAAGGAGTAAAACCAGACCCCACATGGTCCTTTCCAGTTGGCTGGAGCTCAAGCAGGCAGTCACTGGGCCTGCGATGGTCAGAGCAGCTGGAAGGGAAGAGAATTACTCTCAGCTGGTAGAGACAGCAAAGAGGGCGACGTCAGGAACCTCTTTATGTGTTCATAGAGTCACAGAATTTTGTATGCTTTAGGAGCACTCAGAGAGACTGGAAGCTAGGCTGTTGCATCATTGCTTGTAAGGTAGTAAATAGTAGCAGTAAAAAGTAAAAAGTAGTAAATCCTGCCAGGTACAGGTTTGCTTTGAAACAGCTGAGTTTTCTACGTCTGTCTGTCAAGATTGTTGCTGCTGAAACTCCAGAGAACCCAAATTATCAAGCAATGAGGAGGAACCTGATTATGGCAATGGGGAAAGCAAAAACAACTAGCATGAGGACTCTTTCCAGGCTGATTAATGACTTGTAGCAATTACTCGCTTCATACAAATGCTCACAGGATATTAGAAGTTAATATTTTGTAGTTCTATCAGATTTCAGATAAGCTACTGCTGCATTCCACAGGCAGGAAATAAACCCTCTAGCTTGAGTTGGAAGTAAACTATATGAATAAAAGATGTTACTCCTATTTTGCTGCAATGGAGTAATACAGACAAAGGGACTCTGCTGGGTGACGCTGGACAAACAGCATCATCATTAACAGGTGTAAGTTGTTTCAACTGACTTACAGGTCTGATCCTGGCCTCAGACTGGGCAAAACTCGCACTAAGTCCTGACGAAGGGCTGCTCAATGGGCTCCGTGTGCCCCCAGGGTCTGGTTTGCCTATTGCACTGTTTTACACCAGTGCCTCTCCTGGTGCTCTAGAATGAGTGTGACAAGAAGGATCAGCCCTAGAAACACTGCTAAAAGACACCCAGCCTGACTTCTAGTGCTGATTACTCCCACTATTTACTTCTGAAGGAGAAAAATGCAGCTAACTTAGTACACACGCTATGCAGCTTCTGCCAGCAACTCTGTGTGTCAAAGACAGACTCTTCACGTTTCTGCATTTTCAAGCTTTTCTTGCACTTTTGGTCGCCATTTGAACACTTCTGAGACACCCAAAGGAGTGTCTTGAGTGACTGAAGGCTAAGAAGCACAGATATGGACCAGACGCTGATAATTTCCCTGCAATGTCAGTACGGTCAGGTCCTACAGTGGACACTGAGTGGTTCCCTGTGGTTTTCTGAGCTGTTCTTTCATCATGGCTAAATTTTCTCACTCTAGATTTCAATCTTCCTGAAACTTCAATCAGAAGTTTAGTTTTATTTAATCTGATTCCTCAAAGCAAAACACTTCTTATTATGTTCATCTTTCCCGAACAAAGTAATGCTCTAGAGCTCTAACAGAAAATTGAAATTAGAATCTGAGCACTGTGTTATCTTATTGCCACACGGCTGACTAGTGTTGTCTTTTCAGCCAGAGTTTGACTTCAGAGCTGGAATGCAGGAGGAGGAAAAAGGGAAGCAGGAGGAGATAAGAGATAAGAGAAAGGCAGAGAAAGGGGGGAGTCATGGCTGGGAGGAGCTTTGATGGCACTCAAAAGAGCAGAGCTGTATTCTTGCGATGTTTATTTCGGATCACGCATTTCATTTCTAATACAGCCCCAAAGTTAATTGTTCAACTTCTCTTTTATTGCAGTTTTCACAATCTCACATTATTTTACTGCTCTTTCTGATATTAAATGATACCAGACCCACAGGAGCAGCTGAAACATTCGGGTCAATGCCAACTCAACCCTGTTACAAACTATGGCTTGTGTTGCTTAAAGCAGATTTTAAAAAATAATTAATAAAACAAAACAGCTCCCCAGGAATGAAAAGCACATCTGGATGGAAAATTTACAGCAACATCTGGCTGCTGAAAATTTAATAATACAAGGACAATACTGATTTATACCAGCTAAAGATGATGTAATGGATATCAGTCCCGTTTGCTTCAGTGAGCTCTGACCAGCACAGCAGCACAGGCAAGTTCAGTCCCTAAGAAGTCCCTCGCTAGCTCTGTCAGCTGCCACAGCCACCACAGACCCAATCCCAGAAAGAAACGCCACTGAACAGAGGAGACGAGATGCTGTGGTCTGTCAGACAGAACATTTACTCCAGACTGGACCAGAAACAATCAATAGACTATTTCCTATTCATAAGCAAAAACCCCTCAAAACCTTCTAACCTCATGGTATTTAATTTTTATCTTAATTTTTTAAAAAAATCATCCACAGTACAACTCCATTAAAATTATTGCCTCTATCCCAACCCTGATTCAGTCTTGAACCTGAAATCAATGGAGTTTTGACAGGGAGAAACTTGGTTCTGCTGGGCTATCAAACATTGCTGGTGCTAATTTAAAATAGAGGCTTTACCAACTGCTGTAGCACCCACTGAACATGCTTAAATGAGATTTCTTTGTGAGGAAACTTATTGCAGAGTCTTCTAAACGTCACAAAACTCTAATTTTTTTAGCAGCACTATAAAGACACTTTCTTTTTTTTTTTTAAATTAGACATCAACTTAATTTGATTTTTCCCCCCCATATTGCAGCAAAATAATAGGTAGTCACTTCATGAGTCATTTGTTTATTTCAGTACCTTTGAAGCACGGATGTGATCAAGGACATTATGATGTTTTTTGAAGCCAAAAAATATTAAATAACCAGAGACCTTCAGCAACCTCTAGTGATACCAAATAAGATGGTACAGTATTGCTCATTTAACTTCATCTCTTCATTTGGATTTCCAGGATACAGTACCTCAATTCTGCTAAAATCAAAGACTTATTCTAGACCTGTACTACATTAAGGCTGCAGTTGATTCACATGTTGTAGCAGGGCTCTGCTTCCATTCTCACAGTCAGAAAGAAGCGACTGCTATCAGACATACCTGGAGCTGCCACTGTCACATACATCGTGGGATCTTCAAAAGACAAGAGTGCCCAAGACAATGACTACTCCAGCAAACCCGGCCACTTCAGTTGTGTCTAAATGGGAAAGATAAACCTTTGAAAATTTCATCGCATAACTGTCAATTCATGGTCAATAACTTGTTTTTAACTTTTTATGTTATCAATTTTCCAGGCAGTTGAGATCTCTGAACACCAGAATTTAGTGGTAACAAAACTGTTGCAGCCCTGCAGACTGATAAATTATTATACCAGGAAGGTCTAAATAGAAACAGCGTGTAATCAGGATTCTGAAACAGAAGTCCAAATAAGCCATGATTTATTGTGTAATCAGATACTGGTTTACCTCATAAGGTCCCCAAACTCCCTAATACTAGACATCACTGAGCTTACAATGAAGTGGTCTACAGCTACCAGGGGGTATCACAACCTCGCAATCTGAGGTCACTATAGGATGAGCACATTGCACCTGGTTTGGCAAAACTGGCTTCTTTATCCAAGCCAGGAAAACGAGCTTCTAACTCAGACCCAGCTTCATCAGCAGCTCAGAGCTCCTCTGGTTCTGCTGCTGTGCTGGGTCTGGCTGGGAGGAGATAACACGAGTTCCAAGCAGTCTGCCATGTCCAAGGGCTCAGAAAGGGCCAACTGCAAGACTTTCCCTCTTGATCTGACATCCTTTTACATATATGCTGTATGAAACTCCCCGTGTAAGACCAAGTTAAAGTCTGCTCTCTGAGTAAAAGCAGTTGACAGCTTCTAGCCCCCAGTAAGATGGTTGTTAAGTTTTGCTTCTGGAAGGCAAAACCCACATCAACACTGGGAGTCTTGCAGTTTAAGTGGAGAATTTCTCTTTTTCCTGGGACTCCTGCACACATATTTTTTTTCTACGCTAGGCACCCATCTCACACTACAGAGAAGGGAGAGAAATGCCTTTAAGCAGCTCTCTGCAGGATGGCGCCTGTTCTTACATCTACACAAGGTCTTATGCCAGTCTTTACCCAGAAGCCTTAGACAACCTTTTACTGTTGGGAAACCTGGCAGAGCCTGGACCTGGGGTGATGTGCTCATAAGCCAAAATGGTGAGGGATGTACAGAACTCTTCATTCTGCAGAATTCTCTGAACATCTCATCCTTGCCTGGGTCAGAGTCACTCCTGTCCATCAGAGAGGGACAAAGGCACACGCAAGTAAGGCCAGGGCAGTGTGCTGGATCGAAGTCTCCAGATTCTCTTCACAGCACCATGTTAAAGAGCAGCTGAACCACCACTGACAGAAGCTGGAGATGAGAAACAGTTCATACAACCCAGTTCCAGCTGAACTATCTTTAACTTCAAAATCAATTTAGCAGTGTTTTTCAGTTCCCCGTTACAGGCTGTACTGACCAGTGCTGTGTACCTTCAGGTAAAGAAAACAGCTGCATACCATTTTTCTGCCTAAGCAAGTATGTGCTCATATAACTGGCCCCTACAGAACTGAAAGTGATTTTAATGAAGATGGAGTTACTGTTTTTCAATAAAAGCACAAGTGGTTGTAAAAGGTCAATAAGATTTACTCTGGTGTGGGCTTAGAAACATTTGTTATTGAAATGACAAAGGTACAGTGTTTATAGAGCATACAGTTAGTGATCAATGGCACTACCTGTTCATCAGGCAATCCTTGGCATTTCCACAATTTCTCCATGCAATAAGAGTTGAGCTTCACTTATTCAACGTGAGCAGCGGAGGCTCAGAAATAATCACAGATTGTTGCTGAGATCTTCCAGAAAGTATTTTTAAAAAGTCTATCATTTCTTGTTCTTGATGAGTCATTTCAAATGTCAAAATGTTGGGTCACATTTTTGAATAATAACTACGAAAATGTGATGTTATGAAAATTTTAAATCTGCATCTTCCGTGTGGGCCTCTGAATCAGAGTCATGGAAATGCAGGTCTAAAAAGGACTTTAAGAGTATTTTTTTACTTTTTCTAGATGCTTTACTTTTTTATAGTTTCTAGATCTACAAGCAATTTCTACCTGACGTATAGGTCATCACAGAGCAAATTTAACAAAAGGATTGCTTTTATTAATGACCTTTCACTCATCCCTTTGAAGTCATTCCAAACCCTGCATTGTCTCGACCACAAGGTAAAAATCACTGATGCATTACAGTTATCTCTGCATTCAAGGATACAAAGACTGTCACGAGCCATTCATTCCAGGAGTGCATTCTAGAATTCCATCATACCATTTAGGAGTCAACATAGCACACTTAAAATCTGATAGCAGCTGGAAAGAAAGAAATGTGAAGAAGAAAACTGCCTATTCAAAAGTCATCAGTGGTTTGTAGAAAGAATCCTGTGAAGTTGCTCATTGAACAGGATGTTACACCACTGTTTAAGGGCCAAGAAAAGTGTCCATCGCACAAACAGTCTCACCAAAGCTTCACTGGAGTGAAGTTCCAATCAAACACAATTTTTCAACTTACCATTTTCTTGACTTAAATCTGCACACTAGGCCCACTGGGCTTGATGAACTATTAACAATGCTTTTGACATCTCTTCTCACCATCCGAGACTTTCAAAGCACGTCACAAGCATCAAAAGTCACTGTATTGTATCACTATCGCTTATTTGCAGACAGGGAACACAAAACTCAGGTATTTAGGAGTCTACCTAATTCCAGTTACCATCTATGAAAAGTCTGACTCTGATTTTAACTACTGCTGGATTTCTGCCTTAATGCACCACTCAGATCACAGAGCAATTCACCGGGAGAAACAGAAATAGAACACAGCTCTCCCAGTTCCCAGACTCCATTCTGACAAAATGACCATGTGGCCTCCCAGCTTGGTGCTTGTAAAAATACACCAGCTGCTGCTGGGCAGAGGTGAAGAGGAAGCCACAAGTAAAAACCAACTGTACTCCTGGTCTCAACATGTCCCTCACCAGTCACGCACAGGTCTTTATTGTCCCTTAAGCATGACGTCCAATATCTGGCCTGTAGAACAGCTTTAATTGTGATCTCTGCCCACAAATGGCAGCTGAATACCCACTGATTCTCATTTCATGATGTTTCCTTGTAAACAAACCCATTAAGCATCAGTGGAGAAGTCTATTGTTATTACAATGACTATTAAAGTTATAAAGATGCAAATTACACAAAGGTCTTTGTCATTATGTAACTAGTAGGACAATATGAAAATCACCTTGAACAACTGGTTGTGGGCATCTTCTTGCTCCCCCCCAGATCTCTCTGTTGTGCATCAAGCTTCATCTAAAAGTGTATAAATGATGGGCAGGGGAACAGTTCTAAACCGAGTCTCTATGATCTTCCCTCATATTAACCAGATAATTCACCCAACCCCCAAAGAAGGGACTTGCTGACCTATTGTGTCCTACGCACTGTGCACATCTCAGCACTGTATCAGATCTCTGGTGGCTTCTGCAGTTAACCAAGTACAAACTGTAGCATTTCCCACTTGATTTCTAGCCACTAATAAATACTTTCAATACAGTGAAGGCTTGGATTTTAAGTAACAGCTTTCAGTTTCACTGGTGCCATTAGTGATGGGTGCAAGTGATAGCAATAAAAAGCCTCTAACTATTATCTTTGCCACATGCTTCGCAGACACAGTGGCACTGATGGACAGTACCAGAAACAGTAAACTGCATCACTAATATTTCCTGAGACCTTCCCATAAATGGTCCATGCTGGAATTGCAGAGCAAAAACACCAGTTGTCTTCATCCTGCCAGTAGTGTTTTCATATAAGCTTGTCCTTACAAGGGGGAAGAAATCCATGCCTGGATAAAATTACTGTCTTTTTTCTTCCGAGTCCTTTTGAAACACTGCAGTGAAGCTTACAAACCAACTGTAACCTAGCCCTGATTAGCTTGGTGAGGATCTAAAACTACCAAAACTCTTGAAATGTCACATTTATGCCTAGCACAACCGACATTATTACTCCATCTTCTCACTTGCTCAGTCATTTCATACACCTACAGGTGTATGCACATATGTATGGTAGGTGTAGGTATATGCAGGTGTATGTATATACACCTACACTTCATTCTAACTCTCTTGGGATGGGCAGTTTCAGTTTTACTTCTATATAGTGCTTACCGTAATGGGAGTCTGATCTTCACTGCTGCTGTGCTATAGGACTCTTACAGACCAGTAACCTAAAAGAGAAAACGACTAATCTTACTGCAGGAAGAGTAACACATGGTGAGTAAATTTAAGCCCTCACAAAATGAGCAGACCAAATAACTCTGTAACTACTAAGAACAATAAACCCACTAGAAAAAAGTCAGGAACAGTTCATTAGTAAAATCCACACACATAATACATATGCATAGTCACAGGCACACAGCAACAACAGAGGGGAAGGGAGCAATACTGGAACTAACTGTTACCTATTTCAGTCACAGCAGCTAATACGCCTGTTACCTGAAACTAACTTTGTTAGTGACACCAGATCCCTGTTCAAAATCCCTCTGTACATCTGGTTCCACGCTGCACCTCCATTAATAACTGCTCTTGGAGGCTCTGCGTGGGAAGGCTCAAATGCAGCTGCCTGGCTGGTGTGGTCCTGCCACTGGCCCCGTGTCCCTTTATCGGGCCAACACAGACAACTGGAAGGTAAATCACATTTGTACTGCATCCTTAAAGCAAGGCTTGAGGTCACTGTACCGAACCATTTATACAAACAAACAGCTGTCTTTTACAGCAAGTGAAAAGAACAATAAGAAATAAAATTATTTCATTTAAAAAGCTGCTATAGAAATGTCTGAGTTTCAAGAGGAAGATGTTCTACGGCCAGCCACAGGGGCCAGCTCTGGAACTTTTCATTCTGCTTTTGCTCCATCTTCTTATTTGTGCTCCAACCGAGGTCTCCAGTCTCTGACCACCGGGTGTCTTTAAGTGCCTCCAGCCTCCAGGAGCCGCTCAGCTGTCCTGTCTGTCTGGTCTGGCAGGACAGATTTCCAACATGCTCCGAGCCCATTGCTCCGAGAACCTGACAGAGGAACCAGCTGCAAGCTGAGGGTTGGTGACTTTAAAATCCAAACCAGCACTTTCAAACAAATTGTGCCAAACACTAAATCTCTTATCAACTCTCTCACACAAATTTGCTCTCTTTCACACCCTCATTGGCTTCTCTATCATAATTAGGATGTGTTAGCAGCAAGCGTAAAGGAACAGCATAGAGGAAACAAATTAGTATGTTACTCCTTTAATTGCTATGGGAAGTAGTGACCTCCTATTTATAAACCTCCAACTGACTTTGCAAGTTACTTGCTGTGAATCAGACTTACTTCTTAAAAGGACACTGGATGTCCACCATCTCTATCATACCAATTCAAATTTCCCTGAATCTCTTCTTGCTCCATCATGAAACTCACCCCAGCTTAAAACCAGTATTTTGGCAAAGTAAACCGAGCTGTAAATTTGCTTTGTCCAATAACTAATTCCCTGCTGGAGTGAAAAGAATCTCTTGAGCACTGTCATTAGCAGCTGTGAGAAAACAACCGGCTGGGCAGCTGAGTGGTTTTGGTGCCTGGAGGCTTGTTTCATTGACATTATTTAGTTTGAAAGATCCTGACTGTGCCTGAAACAAGAGCCAGGGCACAATGAGACTCCTTCTGGAGATGGCCACTTTCTTCCCAAATCACAGGGTTCTCTTGATTAGAAAGCTATAGAAATGACCCTGCATAAACACTACAGAGATAATTACAAAATAAAGAAACATTACAGTGAATCCACCGAGATCTTTAATTCCAAACTGCCACCATCCCAGAAGGAACACACTGTGAGTTAGGCTGACTCGTAAGTATACAATTAAGCCTGTCAAGTTCTGACTCCATAATATGCTGTTTAATATTGAAAAGTCTGTCAGTGAACCAGTATGTGGGATTAATGTCATAATGCTTTGGGTTTGCTTCCTCATGAAACTATAAAACAATTTACCTGATATAAGCAACACGTTATTTATACTCTTTTTGGCAACAGTTTTAATGCTATGTGGGATACTCCCCCTTCCCTCTAATATAATAACCTTCCCTGGCCTTTATGGATTTAAATTGGTGAGGGGAGCTGTGTGTGTTCCATGTGGAATTTACTCAGTAATTCTATTAAGAGCTTCCCTGCACAGAAATTAATGTTCTCATCTCATTCAATAATTGTCCTATTCATTATTTAAAACAGAAGACCTAATCTCTCCCTATATTAAGTTTCCTCACAGGATTTTCTATTAGTTTCAAGGAATTCAAAAGATTAAGCTTCAACACTTCTGTGTTTGCAAAACTATACAATTCTGGGGCTTATAGTTACAGCATAAGGTTTTACAATTTCTGGAATTTTTGGGAAGAAAGGTGTCAGTTGAAAGTTACAGAACCTTCAAAAGAGGCCCTTTACTTTTGTTCCTCACCATTTTCAGCTGACACTCCAAGTGACATTCAGCATTAGCCAGCAGAACTTCTGCAGAGGAGTTTGCCTTCATTTCACACCCTAGATTTTATATTCCCAACTACTGAAAATGAATGGAAGAACCGTTATTATTCCTCAATGGTTTGTTTTTTGATGAATGGTAACAAAGGTGCTTGGGCTGTGCTGTGCTGCTATTGCCGAGCTCCTCCCGGAGGGTGCTGCGAAGGGGCACACACGCATCCGTGTGTTCTCAGAGGAAAACTTTCCTCACCTAACCACTTTTTCTCAAATATCTTGATAAAACATTTGTTCTGCCAAAAGAAAATTAATTTCATTTCTAAATCTCCAAGCAACACAAAGGCTACATATGGAAAATTACATCAATGTTTAATTACCATCATAGCTGAATTCAACTACGTTTGTTAAACCTCAGCTTCCAGGTACTAGTCCTTCTTATATTTTTACCAGCACAAAGACAGAAAACACCCCATTGTTATCTTCTCCATGTGTGAGGACATAAAGGCAGTAATCAAGTCACCCCATGCCTCTCTCATGGAATGGGAATGCTAAATTGAACACAGTGATAAGCTGGACAACATTTTGAGCAGAGACTGACAGCAGCGGTGTCTGGGACAGGGTACTGGTAACTGTAAGTACCGAGATCACGGGACTGAAGGCATTGCCTGCCTTGCAAATCTATTCTGTATTTGTGACTTAAAGGGCTGGAGCCGATGGCTCAGTAAGAACATCCCATCCACAAGAGCTGGCTGTGGAGGTACCATGGGAACAAGCTTCTGTTACAGAACGCTTTTTCAAAACTGAAGTGCTTTGTAAATACATTTTAGCTGAAAAAAAATCCTCTGAGTTTTGAGACTAGCTTCCTCGGAGGGCTGCTGAGGAACCAATGCCCCAAACACAGGCATTAAGACAACTGCTCACATCTGCTGCCTCCAGAGCTTCCCAGCTGCTCCCACTGCCTGGTGGTCCGTGCTGGTACGAACATCCCATTACAATTATGGGGTTGGCTCAACATTCATGGATAAACTCCACTGGAAAATAACAATCAGTACAACCCCACCTTGTGCTCCACCAAGAGCACAACCTTGCTTCTTCACAGTACATAGAGAGCAACTTGCCTATCCACGCAATCCGATTTCAAAAAAACTGCCAAAACAAGCCAATTCACACAACTCCTGCCTTGCAGAAGAGATAAACTCTATGTGATAGATCGTAGGCACAATGCTTAACCTGCTCCAAACATTTCATGTTAAAAAGAATAGAGAAAATGTCATTGACTGAAGAAAAAAATACAATAAAGTGAGATTGAGAAGCTATTCAGAATTACTGAACCCTTCAACCATATGATGAAAACATCCTTTTATTTTTTCTTTTTTTTTTTTTACTTAGAAGGCTTCAGCATCTTACCAAGAAAGCACTGGAGGGAGCCAGGAACAGAATTCTTAACAATCTCACTGTTCTGTTTCACTTTTCTAAAGGCATGTTTCAACATGCAGTTCTGAATGGCCACTTTACTTTATAGGTCAATATGATATTAATTTTTAAACTCACGTGTCATACCGTAAGAGATCTTACAGAGTTACTATGCCCAGGAAATGCCAAGCAGTGAGTGTGGAGCAAATGTAGTTCCTTATGAGGTGCACTGTGACAGATGTAATAGCAGTTCCCAAATCCATGGCACTAGTATTTGACTCCTAGAAATAGCATAGTGGAGAAAACCCATGGGCTCATCCAGAGAAATGAAGGGGCACAGTTTGGTTTGTGAGAGAGTCTTAAAAAGACAGTAGCCAAGGGCTGGGTGACAGACAGGGCACAGACCCACGGTCTCCTGCATTGGCCATCGCGGCACAGGATGACAGGGTTCAGCGTGGAGCAGCTCCTGCTGCCCCTGGGCTGTGCCCTGCTGTGCTGACCAGGGCAGAGAGAACTACACGCTAAGAATTGTCTCCAGCTCATAATTACACGTTATGAGGATTTTCACATTGGAAGTATGTGGCAAATGCAGATTTACTAAACTGCAGTCACACAAAGTTCCAAAGCGTAAGTCTTAGCTACCCTGTAATTTCTAGGTAGCTGAGAAATTCAACATGTCACCTGTTGTATCACTGGTGAAATGCGACTCATCTGTTTAACCTTTGCTTTTCCTACCTATGTTTTTCAAGAGCCACGGTTCAAAAAGTATGAGAGGATTTTTTAAAATTCCATTCAATATGTGGAACATTTCAAGGCAGAGACAGACAAGTTCTAAGGCTAATCCCTTAGCAGTACTGTGCAGAAGAGTACCTCAAAGAGACAGACGGGTTAAAGGGAGAGAGTCTTGTTCCTACTTACAATAGCATAATGCTTTTTGAAGCGCATAGCAGCAACATAACTATGTTTTAATACCTAATGCTATACACCCCATATTCTAATGTACTGTTTATGGAAGCCTATGGCAAGAAAATACAGAACTGTGAGCCAAAAATTGTATAGTGTCATTCAGAATAAGAATCTGTGGTATAAACTTATTTAAATATAATAAACTAATTTTTTTTATTGTTTTACTTCCTTAACTGAATAAACTACCTATCTCTCTGCATTTACACCACAGTGCTTGCTTAGTAGAGGATACACAAACTCATTTTTGTAAAGCAGAGGAAAACCTCCTTTTCTCTGTGCTGTCTTACATAAAATTCAACAAAATCTCTTTAGAGAATGGAAAAATAGTGATTTCTGGAAGTCGAGCTTGGAAATATGGAGGTCAACAAATAACTATCAGAGTTTTAAAATGCATTCAAAATGCAGATCTCTGACATTGGTTACAAAAAAGAAAACAACACATCACCTACACTACCTCACAGCTATTTGCATACTGGGTTCAGAGGCAGCAGAGTATAAGTACGGAGGCACGAGCCATCCAAAGAGAACTCAGCAACAGTTCTGTTGGATACTGCGTGTCTGCAGCAGAAAAAGGGCAACTTTGAAGCTCAGATGTGCAAACAGCTTTAAAGGACTAAGCAATCTCTTGGCAGATGCATCAAGCAAAAATCTGAAACTACAAACCAGGTAATTTACCAAATCATTCCTTTTTACCTGATTCTAACTTTCCTTCTAAAGATTGCTCTAAGCCAAATAGCCTGTGTGATATCCTTAGGGCTGTCATCCAAGGACTTCATCAGAAGTGACAGAAACCTGCTAATAAGAGAGGTAGTAAACTCATTTTCTATTTTAAAAATTTGTAGAACTTGGTAAAATTGTGCATTTATTTTTTTCTGTTCTAAAGATATAATTAAGCTAAATGACTGCTCTACTAGTATTAAAGATGTAGTCCATTCTACTGAAGGAACTCTACTTACTGGAAAATAAACCCAAGATAAGCGCGTTAGGAATTCCAGTGCTAGCTAGAAGAAACAGAAAAACACTTGTTATCTGGGCAAGAGATAATAAAGGATAAGATTATTATATCTCTGAAAAAAAAATATGAAGTGCTTACCCAATGCAAGAAATCTCCCTGATGAATGGAGCATAGCTATCTTATTATACTGAAAAATAGAGAGACATGCAGCTACTTTAAATGTGTAGAAATAGATATTAAAAAACTAATGGACTGTTAAAGCTGGACTTAACTAAATGTGGAATGAAAGTGCTGCAGCTCCCACTGTTATGTTAAAATGAATCCTTAGCAAAGGGAATTGCCTGGTGAAAACTGTTAGTGCAGGTGTATGTGTGTGTATCTCTTGTGGGGCAACAGTTATCACAGAGTTCAAGAGGGAAATTATTTTTGCCTCTTTGCAGAAGACAAAGCAAAATCACTGCCTTTCAGAACTATCTGTGCATCAGGAAGTTAGGTGTTCAAAACGTTCCTACTTACTCTGCCAGAAAAATGAGCAAGTGCCTGGTTTTAATTGTGAAGAATTTACAGATTCTTCGAAGAATATAAAATAAACTGAGAGGTTAGTTACAGAAATTAGGAAGGACCCTCCTAAGAGACTTCAGTTCCCACAGCAGTGCCATATTTCCTTTTCTGTGTCTGGAATATTGCTACTATTGCTAGGTTTGCTCGCTGCACCCTTCTCCCCTGTTGTCCTCTCTCCCATAGAAGCTGCAGGAACCCACAATGCCATCTCTCCAGCTGCCACTGCTGCTCCTCTGCCTGACCCTGTCTGGTGTCTGCCTCAACCAGGGGCAGCCCCTTCCAGAGGGAAGTGAGAAGATGGGAAGAAGTCCCCTGGATGACATCCTGCAGAGATCGGAAAGCCTCATTCTTCAGTCTGTCCTCAAGAAAGCCGAAAAGAAAGAAGAGATGAATAAAGGTATAGAGAACACTGGGGACATCCACCTGGTGATGTCGGCATAGTACTTGGCTGAGTTCATTAGATCCAATATATAGTTCCCAGGCTTTAATATGTGTTTTTATCACTCAGACTAAGGGGAAGGGAAAGACAGGAGATCTGCTGCAATACACTGAGCTCTCAAAAGCTTTCTTCTCTATGATCTCCTCACTTGGGAGAGTGTACCTGTACCATCACTGAACAGCTGTGACATAATAGGAAGGTAGAAGCCTGTCACAGAAAACTTGCCTGTCTGGCAAGTATGTCCCTAGGGAAGATGTAAGAGGACATGTGGAGATCATTCCCCAGTTGTGGACCCTGTAGTTAATGCTAACTGGAGGTAGGAGTGCTCCCTCAACTCTTTTCCATGACTGGAAGGCAGAGAGGCTGCTCTTGTGCCTGCTGCCTCCTTGCTTGCAGATGCTCTGCTCTCAGTAGCCACAGCAGTGGAACCAAATCAGGCTCAGGGGACCACAAGAAGGTGCCGGCCACCAACAAGGAGCACAGAGCCCTTTCACAGTGGAAAGAGAAGAGAGCCTCAGGTGCCCATAGAAAGAGCCTTTCTCCCTTTGCTCATGAATGCTGAAAGTTGGTCATGTTGATCCAAGACCTGAAATATTAGCAAGAGGTGAAGAATGAGTAAGAGAAACTAACAGAGTTATGACTGGCTGCTGGAAATACTGAGCTGGCTTTCAAATGTCCACATCCCTGCTTCTACTTGTGTCTCAGCCCTATCTTTTCCCTGTCTCAGTCTGATTCCCGGCTATTCCCCATACCGAGCTACTGCAGCAAATTTCTTCCAGCTGCTCAGCATCTTTTTCTCACCTCCCTTTAGCTGATTCTGACATATTTACCCGAATCAACACATTAGGCTTTATCATTGCATGTTTTCCCATTTGGCTGCAGCTAGTTCCTATTGTACCAATTCCTCCTTGTTAAAAAGGAGAACCGTTTTGACAGATTCCATCCAGAGGAATCAAATTCAAGACCATACAGTTAACTGTGCAATTAAACGGGCATAATGAGCAACAGATTATAATCCTGCATCACAGAACTCCACAAATTCCCATTTAAACTTCTTTAGTGAGTACTATGGGGGCTCATTAACATTATTCTTTTTCTTGGACAGAACCAAATGCCCCTCTGCCAGAATGGCTTTCCAAAAGACAACACCCTGGGAAAAAGTTCCTAAGTGACCTGGAAAAGAGACAGCATCCTGGAAAAAGAGATGTTGAGAAAGACACATCTTATGGAGACATTCAGAAGAGGCAGCATCCAGGGAAAAGAGAGATTGAAGACCACCTTGGTGGCTATCTGGAGCTGAAAAAGCGCCAGCATCCTGGCAGAAGGTCACTGTCGGATCAGTATGCTGCCATCCCCAGTGTTCAGCTAACCTACTTGAATGAGTTGGCCAAAAGGCAGCACCCAGGCAGAAGGTATCTGGTGTACAAGCGCCAGCACCCTAGCAAAAGAGCCTGGAGTGATGAGGTAGACGTTAATGACCAACACAGTGAGAAACACCAGCACTCTGGAAAAAGGCTCTGGAATTCTGACAACCCAGATGATGCAGGGCCCTGCAACATTCAGGAGACCTTCGCCTGCAACAAAGGCAGCTTGTTGCTTGATTTAGTAGAAAACGTTAGCAAAGACAGGGTAGAAGAAAAACGTCAGCACCCAGGAAAGAGATCAGCATGGGAGAGTGAAACAGAGGAATGAGAGTAATTGTGTATCATGTGCATTTGGTGAAGTAAACTGCCAGATCACTAAAAAATTCTGTTCACTGCCTTTTGGCTTCCCACTGCTGACCTCTGCCCCCATCTTTCGGTGTGTTAATGTTCCCATGTAAGTTAACAGCTTTGTCACACACTTAAATTAAAGGAACTAAAGGACCCAGCTGAATGGGACAGGCAAATCCTGAGAGTCTTCAACTCCCCCACTTTAGGAATCTAAGAGAGCTCACTTTCTTATGAGCCCAGACCCCAGAATAATCCCACGGTGTGCGTCCAATTTTCTGTTCCCAAATGACTAACATGGGCTCTTAAATATCTGTTCTGATGGAAGTGGAATAATTATATGGTCTCCTCTCATGTCAGTGAAATCAGTAAATTAAGCAAAGGAGAAAAAAGAACAACATATACCACCTATTTCAAATTGAAATTGAATAGGTTTTCAATTCTAAATGATAAATTAATGGGACATGAACCCTTGCGTGCTACAACCTGTCCAGACAGTAGGCACTCAACAGAGATAGGAACCGTTCCCACTGGAGCAGATTAGATGACTGGCTTCATAGTTTGACTTAAAACTGGCACTTTAAACCCCTTTTCATCTTTGAGGCTGCACAGTGCAAAGGGTTAATGCATCCCAGAGCATCTCAACCACAAGCTGTGAACCCCACTGCGCACACCCCGCCACCCGCGTGTCCACATTTCAGTCGTGCCACTGGAAATCATGCCTTCTCCTCAGACATTTATAATGAAACAAGCAGACATCCTTTTTTTTCCAACAAGGGTTTCTGATTTCTCCCCTCCCAAAGGAATGCCTTTACTGTCTATGGTCAGACTCCCTGAAGTGTTTATTTGATATAAATGGTTCAATAAACATCAACAGTCAACTCTCAGTGTCCTTATTGGTTATGCAAACATACCGTAATAGAGTGAAAAACATAAACCCAATCCAAGCTAAATAAAAATACATAAATTAACATAAAAGGGCACAATCTTCTTGCATGCTGGTGGTCAGCGCATGTTTATATGTAAAACTGTTTTGCTATTGATGTGTAAGGATGATTTACATAGACTCCCTTTTTAGATTCCTTTTTAAAATCTTCTACCTTTATTACACACAAAACTATACATCTGGGCTAAACCCACAGCAACCTTGTCTGCTAGTTCACAAGGAACTTTACTAGAGATCTGACTTCCTGTTCACGGTCTAAACAAGGGATTTACTGATTTTTGCAACAGTTATTGACATCATTGAGTTATTCATATCACTTCTGGTACATTCCAAAAGGTGGCAGCTATGAGAAAGCCAAAGCGAGGAAGGGAGAGCAGCATGAAAGCCCACGGTCAACGCTTTTAATGTGCAGCTACAAAGACCTGGTTCAAGCTATTAGGTTACTACCTATGAAATCTACCATTCTGCATAAATCTCAGATGTACTTTATCATCAATAAATCAATCACTTATTCAAAAGAAAAGCGCGTGCTCTCCTCACAGTGTTGCCAGTGGAAAGCTAGCACAACTGATTTTATTTAAGTCTCATTTTTCATCTTCTGTATTTTAGGTTCTCAGTGCTCCAGTATTTTCAGAGATGCCAAGTTCTGCCAGGGGCTACTCAAGTCTTTAAATGCAAGGCTACCACTACTATAATTTTTTAAGGAATAATTTCTACTGGGTTTAAGTTGTTTTGTATTGTCGGGGGGGAGGTTGTGTTTTGTTTAAAAGCCAAGCCTGATCTAACAGCACTTTACAGTAAATCAGATTTATCTTGTCATTATTATCATGCCTGCAGTTGTTAAAATTTGCCTCAGTTTAGAGCCACTGAAAATGCACTTGGCTGGCAGGGAAAGGCCCAATGTAAGCAGATACTGGGAGAGCTCTGACCCATTTCAATTAACTAAAAAAAAAAAAAAAAAAAAAAAAACTTTTTTTTACATGTAAATGGTTTAAAAAAAATCAAACTTTCATATAAATTATGCAGAGATGTCTAGAGACCCGCATGCCACCGCAGCCCCGGCCACGGCTGGGCTTCCTCCTCCAGCCACCCAGAGCCCGCTGCTTCTCTGAGCTATTCGCCTCTGGTAGCGAGGAGGAAAAATAGAATGATTAAAGTGACCCTGCTCTTCGGAGCCGACAGTTTTTGCTGGATGCTGCACAGAGAAAGCTTGCGTGCCTCCAAAAAAAAAAAAAAAAAAGCAGCTTTGTTACTCCAGCAAAAGGTCTCTGGAAAATGACAGAAACACTCTCAGAAGTGTTCCTGGCCAGGAGCGGGAGCACACATGAAAGATTCCTTCCAAGTTGTGTAGGCCAGTAGCCAGCTTCAAGGACGAGACACAAATTTCCCCCCCGCTGTGGGGGATGGCCCGAGCGGGCGCCAGCCTCCCCTGCGCGGCAAGGCCCTCCCTGAGGCTCCTGAAGTGATTCTTGTCACCGCCGCCTCACGCCGCCCCTCTCCTACACACCTGCGTGCCCCGGGACGAGGGGTCTTCCCCGGGCGGCCGAACGCAAGGGCGCGGTCGCTGCGCCTCCCTCAGGGCAGGCCCGAGCCGCCCCCGCCGCCGCCTCCTCCCAACCCGCCATCGATAGCTCTGGGCTTGGCAGCGCACGCCTGAGCTGGGCCTCGCCTCTCCCTCCGCTCCCGGATCAGCCCTCCCCGTCCCCACCCTTCCCGCCCATCGATATCTCGGCGCTCGCCCCGCCCTCCGCCGGCCTCTGCCGCTCC